CCCGGCAGTAGCGAGGCATCCGAAACAGCTCGCGTACGACCGGGCGCCGCAGGACGGGAGAGCCGCGGCGAGTTTGGCTTAAAAAAGCATTAAAATCCCGACGCGCCAAACACTCGGAAGCGCGGCGAAAAGCAAAGAGCACCAGGCAGGGCACAAAAACCTGCCGGCGGAGGGGCTGGGAGGTTTCTCGGGAGTTCTCCTTCCTTGCGAGGTCAGGCCCTGGGATAAATCGCCGTCTCACGGGGCGGAACGCCACACGCCGGCGTGGAAGCGCTGGCAGGGAGACGTTCGACTCGGCGCTATTTCTAGGGCAAGTGATTAAATCCGAATACAAGGTCTAGATATTGCCAGCCGGGACAAAAAAAAACCCAAAACAAACCCAAAAACCAACTCCGCACCGTTTACAATCACATTTATAAACGCGTTAAACATTAATACTGTCGTGTAAAGAGGCTGCGTATAAAAAAATATATAAAAAAAAAACCAAAATAGGCTTGTTAGGACGAGAATACAAAACTAGAATACCTACAGATAATGCAATTTTTTTTAAATCTCCATCTCAAAACAAAGACTATCGCTCGAATATCCGCCTGCCTCTCCGGTCAAACATACTGCGCGAGAGGCTGCTGCAGGGAAAGGAGAGGGCGCGAGGGGCGGCCTGGCGCGGGAAAAGCCCCGGCCCGAAGGCTTTGTACCTCTACCCAGGGGAAAAGAACCGGAGGAAGCTCGAAGCCGCGCTGGAGAAAGGAGAATTGAGGTCTGCCTTCCATTTATATTCCTGCCGAGACGCTGCTGGCTCTTCTGGGCTAGGTATTGGAAAAGTAGGAAGCGGTAGGGGAATGACCTTGAAGAAGTCGCTACTTTCTTGACTGAACTTGAGCTGTAGGAACACTTTAATGTCAGAAAGGGCATTTTTTAAAATCTAAACATCATATAGATTTAGTACGGATACGTATATTCATTTAAAAAAAAAAATAGTGCATCTAGAGATTTTTTTTGTTTCAGCAACGTTTTGTCCCGTCGCCGCTGTTAGAGGGAAGGGAACAAGCTCCGAAGCGGGCGCTCCCAGCTCCACGAGCAGCGCAGCTCCCGCCGTCACCCCCTCTCCTCGTTCCAGGCTACGCTGCACCAACGCTCCAGGCCAAGGAGGTGGTGGTGGTGGTGGTTGGTGGAAAAAAAAACCCCAACCGCAGCCCACACCTTCGTTTTGTCCAGCCCAGCAGCCACGCCACTCCCTTCCTCCCGCGCCAAGCCCTCACCGAGGAACGGTGAGCTCTGCGTGATCTGCTGACCTGAGGAACTGCTCAGCCCTCTGCTCTACCAGAAATCCTAACAATTGTCCCCGAAAAGTGTTTCTCGGGGCGGGGGGGGGGGGGGGAGGGTGGGGGGGGGGT